ATAAGGCGGCTGATGCTTTATCAAGGTGTGTTAGGGAGCTCCATGGGATGGCAATTTCAATACCACTAATGGTAAATTGGGGGGCTATCAAAGAAGAAAGCATGCAGAATGAGGAGTTGAGAAAGATTAGGGATGACTTGATGAAGGATACAAGTAGCCATCCAGGGTATTCACTTGAGGGGGAGAGACTTGCATTATGGGAGGTTTGTGATGTCATGAATCTCCATCCATGTTCCACATCTATTGCAGGAGTTCCATAGGAGTGCAATTGGAGTCTATTCCGGAGTAGAAAAGACATACAGCAGACTTGCTGCTAAGTTATACTGGAAGGGGATGCATAAGGATGTGGAGGAGATGGTGACGAGGTGTGAAGAGTGTCAAAGAAACAGGTACATGGTTATGGCTCCAGGTGGGTTACTACAACCATTATCACTTTCAAACATAGTCTAGGAGGAAGTGTCTATGGATTTCATAGATGGCCTACCACGATCTGAGGGGTTCACATTTATTATGGTGGTGGTTGATCGACTGAGTAAACATGCATATTTCTTCTCCTTACGACACCTGTACACCGCAGTGACAGTGGCAGCTGCATTCATCAGGGAGGTGGTTAGACTATATGGGATTCCAGGGTCGATAGTGTCTGATCGAAACAAAGTGTTCCTCAGCCTGTTTTAGAGGGAGTTGTTCAGGTTGTAGGGCACTATTCTCAAGAGAAGCACCACTTACCATCCTCAAACGGACGGGCAAACGGAGGTAGTAAACCGCAATTTGGAGACTTAATTGAAGTGTATTGCTTCTGAAACACCAAGGAGGTAGGTGAAATGCTTAGTATGGATAGTATTGGTACAATACATCGTACCATTCTACTTCTCAGATGACCCCTTTCAAAGTGCTGTATGGAAGGGACCCCCCATGGTTGGTGCACTTTGAAAAAGGGAGCACACAAGTTTCCTCAGTAGAACAGTACTTGGAGGAAAGAGATAAAGTGTTGGAGGAGTTGAAGAAACATTTGTTGAGAGCACAACAAATCATGAAGAAGCAGGCAGATACACATAGGAGAAACATACAGTTTGAAGTGGGGGAGAAAGTGAACTTAAAATTGTGACCCTACAGACAGAAGACATTGGCCAACATGAGAAATGAGAAGTTATCCCCAAGATATTTTGGCCCCTACGAGATAGTGGACAGAATTGGAGCAGTGGCCTACCGCTTGAAGTTACCCCATCCACCACCATACATCCAATATTACATGTATCACAGCTGAGGAAGGCTATAGGTGAGCATGCAATCAGTGCAAAACTACCATCAACATTAATTGAGGAGATGGAAGTGGTTCTAGAACCTCTGGAGCTAAAAGGGGTGAGATATGACAAGGAAGGAAACAAGGAGGTATTGATTACATAAAGGGGACTTCCTGATTTCGACGCTACATAGGAACTGAATGAAAGGGTGAAGCACCAGTTTCCTTCATTTCACCTTAAGGACAAGGTGATTCTTTGGTAGGGGGAAATGTTAGACTTGAACCAGTCCAACCTGGACCGCTTCTAGTCTACTCCCACCGGCCCAAGAAAAAACAAGGGGGGGAGGGAGAAATATGAGGAGGCGGCAGCCTTGGTGGGTGAATTAAGCATGGGTTAGGAGGGAAAATTTGAATGAGGGGTTGTTTAGAGATTATGTAATTTTCCTTTTGTTTTAATTAGTCTAGCATTTTAGGGTTTGGAGACATCTTGAATTTGAAATCAGATTTGGGATCTAGGGTTTGTTGTTTTGGGCTCAAGGCTTGGCTAGAGATTTGGATAGCTGTTTCTTCCTCTCGAGTTAAAGAAACTTGTATTGTTTGTTGTTTTCATGCATTTACTAGTAGAATTCTTCGTTTTTCTCTCAGTTTTCTTCTGTTTTCCCAAGAAACATGTTGTATCGTTGTTGTTTTTCTGTTGTAATCAGTAGCTTCTCTCACTATTTTTCATCAATTGTTGTTAGGATTACTTGCAAACTAAAGTACTTCCTAACAGTTTCATCCGTGGAAGACAAGGCTTCGTCTGTGGAAAACAAAGTTTATGATCTTCATTTGATGGTGAAGAAGTTATTGGAAAATCAAATCCAAATGGCTGCATCAAAAGGCAAAGGGACCAATGGGAAGAACTACGAATTCTAATTTTCATAGGAGGAAAAACGATATAAAAATCATTGAGGATGAAGGGGGAAGGTGTGGAGAGAGACGTGTAAATTGGGAACAAGGAGTAAAGGGTGCCGGTTGGAAGAGAAAAGAAAAATTATGGTAGGAGGGGTGCTGATTTTGGAGAAAAGAGGAAAGAAAGTAAAGAGGGGGTTGATGATGAACATGTAAGGGAAGATTGGGAGACATGGGGAGAGCAAAGCACCTAGGAGAGGGGAAAGTATGGAGGAATACGAGGAAACGGGGGAAAGCCAAAGGCGAAGAAGTTGAAGATGCCAATTTTTGAAGGGGATGACGCTTATGGATGGATCTACAAGGTGGAAAGGTACTTCGCCGTCAATGGGTTGACGAATTAGGAGAAACTGACAGCAAGTCTATGTTTTGGAAGGGAAGGAATTGTCATGGTTCCAGTGGGGGGACCAAAAAAGACCTATACGGAGCTGGAGAGTATTCAAGGACTGTTTATTAGAACGTTTTCAAACTGACGGAGGAGGTAACTTCTATGAGTAGTTTTTTGCACTGTTACAGGACGGATTAGTGGCAAACTATAAGGAGCGGTTCGAGCACCTAGCCAATCGGGTGGAGCGATTATCAGATATTGCATTGGAGAAAAACTTCATGAAGGGGCTCAAGGCAGAAGATCAGAGCGGCGATGAAAGTCATGATGCACTGTTACAGGACGGATTAGTGGCAGACTATAAGGAGCGGTTCGAGCACCTAGCCAATCGGGTGGAGCGATTATCAGAGATTGCATTGGAGGAAAACTTCATGAAGGGGCTCAAGGCAGAAGATCAGAGCGGCGATGAAAGTCATGATGCCTCGTGACTTGGGAGAGGCCATGAAGTTGGCATAGTTGGTGGAAAATCAGAAGAATCTAGAGAAGGGAGCCAGGAGCAGCAGCTCAGGAGACTTACAGGATGACGACCACCCACTTAGCACCCAAGGGTCCTTCAACAGGAGGATTTCATGAGACCACTAGGGAAAAGACAAACAGAGGGAGCGGGGGAAATTTCAAGAGGCTGACGAAGAAGATATGATGATATCTATCAATAAAGGAAGTTCATGAAAATAACCCCATAACTTTCCTCATCATGAAAAAAGAAACTCATTTCCAAGTAATTTCAATAAGTCCTAATCAATTTTTCCAATTTGTACAAAGGTCAACCATTCCACACATTCACCATTATCTTTCTTCCTCATCTCATAACCATCTTCATTACCAAACCTAGGACCGTTGACAATCTCAAACTGACAAGGAGGGAGAAATTATAACTCATAGAACAAAACCAAGATCTAATGAGATCACCGGCAACCTTACAAGATACTCACATTCTCACTAAAAAAACATCTAATAACAAGCCTTCTAATATGCCAAATTTGCATCAGTGTCGGTGCAATCCCGGAAACCCCAAGTGAGATGCTAAAAGATTTTTTATCTTGGTGAGTTTAAGCCATGCTTGGATCTTTCCCATGGAAACATCTTCCAAGGTTAATCCATGGCCAACATTCTCTGATTGTTTGAGCAAACTCACTAGCATGGCCACAAGGATTAGTTAGAACTGGTCTTTTTTAGTCACCCGCTCTTCTTCTAAGTTGTTGTCATCACATGAGCTAATCTAAATCAATGATGGTGACAAGGCGCTTGGAGGTGCAAATAAGGAAAGCTTGAGTATTCATTTCCATACCCAACTCAATGAATATGCTATCAAATATCAAGTTGAATACAATGTGACCTCATGTGGAAGCTCAAGCATTCTTTCAATGAGTAGAACACAAAATGAACATGATGGTTGCTTGGAAGTTACAGTGTTTGTGAACATTTGTGGGAGATAGATAAGGGGAAAACAATGGCATATATGTTGCTATGAGCAAAACAATCAAGGCTTAGGACTTTCGGCTTTCCTTTTGAATGGATGTGAATTTAATCTCAATAATAACTCATCATCTCATGGCTTAGGACTAACAACATCAAGCCTTTATCCCACTACATGGGCTTAGGACTAACAAGAAAACATAAAGATTTGGTAAGGCATTTTAGATACCCCACAGCAACATTGAAAGCAATACCGAAGAGAGTGTGAGTGAGAGCATGTTAGGCTAATCAAGCAAGATTAAGCGTTCTAATATGCCTTAATCCCACTACATGTGAATCTATGTTTTCGTTAGTGCATTAAAGTTACTGTAAAAAGTTATTATCAAGCAAGATGATTGAGCTAATCATTGTTCAAATCCAGATTATCAATCAAACAAGTTTATGCATTTATTCAAGCTTGAATACTTTTCTTTGTTTAACAAGCCAAAGTTGGGCTATCTACAAAGCCGAACATTAGTTGCTTGCAAAAACTGAGCCAGTTTAAATAACGTTTAATTGATGGCTTCCAACAATGTAAAGAAGCAATAGCAAAAAAAAAGGCTCTGGTGCATGGGTTTTGCCAACCCATGCATTAATGCCCTAGTTTCTCCATTCTAACTGCCCTTGCTTACAAAACAAGGAGTGTTATTGTCCTTCTCGCAAACAGGATATATTATGGAGGCTTGCTTATAACTCTTTAAGTGTTTTCCTTTTTTGTCAGAATGAAAATACTATAAGAAGACCCATGCAAATTTCTAAATAATGAAGAATCATCATTGACAAAAATATAATAGACCACAAGAAATTACAAGGCCAAGGCTTATCATCATGTAGTGCAAGAATTTACAATGGCAAAAGAAAAAGATGCTTTAGCAAAACAGCTTTCATCATTTGAACTTCTGGGTCATTGCACAGCACTCCATCAAATGATGCAATGTCACAATAAAAATCAAAGGGCAAAAAAATTACCTTAATGGCATACTTGTTTCCATCTTTGGTGCTACGATATAACACCTATCAAATTGAAAATAGCTTATTTCACATCAAGTGTTAAAAACCCTACAAAACCATTTTTAGAACTAATAAACTTACCACTTTTCCATAGCTACCAGAACCAATCTTGGATTCCCGAACATATTCATTAACCATTTTATTTCCATGCTCATCCTAAACACATAACAAGAGAATGAATAACTAGTAAAATTGTTAATTGAAGGGGACAAATAGAAAGTGATTGCAAGCATTTTCACACTGAACATTTTTCATCTTCCTGATCATTGTCTTATAATTTTCAAGTATATTTCATCTATGCATGGTATTCAAATGTCAATTTTTCTGCAAAATTACATACAAACTACAAAAAACCGATCCATTTGCATATATATATATATAGAGAGAGAGAGAGACAGAGAGAGAGAGACAGAGAGAGAGAGAGAGGATCCTACATGATACCAATCATTAAAAATTGATTCGATGAGATTACTACTTTCACCAAAGCAACCAAAAAATTCTAGATACAAGAGCATTCCACCTAATGAAAAATCTTTAAGGAAGAACAAGAATTGACACAGACAAAATGCAATCTGCAACTGATGAAAGTTCAAAATAAATTTTAGGACAGAAAACCATATGGTGCATACAATAAAGCACAAATTGATAATCACTGGACAAGAAAATAAACCAAAAACCTACTTACGTGAACAGCATCCTAAGAGGTTTATTGCCCTGTTTTTCCAAATAGCAAAGGCAAATGAATACATCTAAGAAGTAGGTGATTAAATAGTATATTTGATTCAAAATTGCTATCAGGAAGGGAAATGATACATGCTTTTTTTATAAACAGAAAATGTATGAAACCAATTAGATGTACAGAAGATTGAAATTATAAGGTTAAAATAATCATATGAAAATACATGTATATTTCACAAACATTGCTACATGTAACTCTTCTCAGTAGAAGAGGTTGGACCAAGAGCAATGATCAAGTTGCCATCATTGTGAATTGAAGTTCACAGGTTTGAGTCATGGAAACAACTTCTTTATAATGCAAATATAAGGTTGTGTACATCAGGCTCTCCCCAAAATTGCATTGGGCCCCATCCATAAGTACGCCATTTTAATAAACCATTTTAATTCACCTGAGAGTGTCACAATCCATAATTGAAGTTGATACAGAATAGGATATTAATTTACCTCACAAAGTGTAACCTTCCGAGTTTCCTTGACAGGTACTTCCCTGCAAATCCATCCACTTTGAGCTCTTGCCAAGAGGATCTCTTCAGATTTTTTTGCACGAGGTTTGGTGCTTCCATCACTAGTTCCACTGTATGAGATGCTATCCCCATCTTCTGAGGGTTCTGGAAGAAAAAACTCTTGCGGAAATTGACTTCCAAGGCCACGGATTGAAAATAAAGATCTATGGGAGGATTTCTTCAGGAACCCAAAGCAACCACAACAGCCCATTTCCAGCAGATGCGAAAGAGAAAAGGTTTCTCCAGGCATAAAGAGCCTTTATCTTAAATAAAAAAACATGCCAAAAATTTAAAAAAAAAAAATACTATCAACTTCAAGAAATAACAACCAAGTAAATCAACAGGAAAAGTGAAGAATAATGATTGAGTGTACTAAACATATTAAAAAAACTGCAGAATTTCATCTTCTTCCATCAAAGTTTTGATAAATAAACACACTTTACTCCAGGATGCAGATTTACCTCCAGATTTGCAGTTTCCAAATCAAAAGATTTACCCCATTCAATACAGGCACACCAAACCTTTTTAAAAAATCCTAAGAGAAAATAAAGCTACTCCTAAAAATACAAGCACAAACTCCACATCCAATCTAATAAAAGGCCGCTGAATTCTATTGTAAAATAACTACTGGATCAATAACGACATGAGAAAAATCGAAGAGGTTTAAATTATATACCGGATTAGGGCTCCGGAACCTCAGAGAGGGACGATGAATATATTTGATGCTATAAACCTAGTAACAGTGGCTGCAGGTGCCACTCGCAGAGAGGTACAAAGCCATTGATGCAATTAACAAATCCGCCCAGGCCCTCTCGATCCAGCAACATCTCGCAAAATCCGCCTCAAGATTATGGCCGTGGCTCCAAACCAGCAATCTAACTCGCCCCGTTCCTTTCCTCCTTATAATCAAATCAACTTCTCCACTTGGCTTCAGGTGTTCTAACCTTTCAAGAAACGGAGGAATCGACGCAATAAAGACTACAGAATAATTAAATTATCAGGTGCCATCCCTTTCGGCAGCCTCCCGAGACAAGGACAGAGAATCCGAAAACCCCGGCTCAGCTCGAATAAATAATCAGTATTGGAATCGCAGGAGAAACATAGAATCCCTAAATCTTCCGGCTCTCTATGCCTCTACGCCGTGGAGAAGGATCGATTCTGCTGATTACTGGCACAGGGTTAAAGAATCTAGCTGGAGAATGGTGAAACAAAGCTGTTCGGACGTACAGAAGTGAGAGATTTCAGAGACGCTGCGGAGATTTCAAATTTACCCGTGCAGAGGAAAAGCCCGATTCTCAACCCGCCCTAGGCCCGATGAAGCCAGGCAGGAGTGACAATGGAATCTTAACTATTATGCTATGGTGCTCTCTCTTCCGATCGGAATAATATTATTCTATTTATATTTTAACAGTTAAAATTTTAATATTACATACATATTATTTATAATTTATTTTCATATCAAATATAAATAGTAGAAATAAAATATATGTTGTTTTTGTTATTATAAACTAGAATATTATGATATTTGTATTTCTTAAGCACTATTTGATATTTAATGCGAATGAACATCTTCAATATCGTTGTCTAGTCATTATAGTCTGACCATTGATGTCCCATTGTCATAAATTATTCACTTTCATTCGATTATCATGCATCATCATTATCAGATCGTTGTCTAACCTCCATCACCCAACTAATATCATATGACCACAGTTAATATCCCTTCGTTATTTTTTTTTCAACTAGCTCTATTATAATTATATGACCTTACTTTATGATCTCATCTTCTCCAATTAAGGAAAAAAGTCGGCCATTATAAATTTTCTTAAATACTGAATTATTTCAACCGAGACGGACCCCATCAATTTTTTCCTTTCAATGTTTTCACACAAAAACTTGAGTGTCTCATGTGTTTCTCTCTTTCATCTGTATGTTCAAAATTTTATGCAAAGCTAAGACTGTAAAATTAATTCTATATAATCAAAAAATTTCAAACACTTAACACATTATAGACTATTTTCAACTTGAAGTATTCATTGATTATGAATTTTTGTTTTCAATGCAAATTCACTTTTTTCTTAATGTATTATAGTTGATTTGGAGTCATGACCTTATGATAGACTCTTTAAAGAAAACTTTGTTTTCACTAAAAAATATACAAGAAATATCAATCATATGGCCTTGATTTTAAGACATAAAACTTGCATGGCCACTCTTTTTTGTTAATTGATTCAAAAAAATTTTTTTTTTCTTCTGCTCTTTGGTCCATGGGATGATGTATTGATATTTTGAGTCAAGCATTATGATCAAAGTAGCATTATCTTTAAGACTTCATTTGGAACAATTTTTTTACTAATTTGGCACAAAAATTTCTTGTTAATTTCTTGTTCTTCTAAAACTAAAAATTTTTGTACCAAAAAGCTGCTTTTAAAAGAATTAAGAAAGTTATCCCAAATGAAGCCAAAGTTAACAAATGCCTTCAAATTATGCATATAGCAGATAGTAATACAGTTCAAAAGTAGTTAAATTGTTCTACGCTTAGATAATAATATTAGGAAAAAAAATATTACATTTATGTGTGCAATTCACAACCTCAAGCGAGCACCCTTAATCTTGTGATAGTGTTATGAGTAACAGTTTTTTAAATAATAACAATTAATCTTGCATTTACATTTAGACCTTAATGACATGGTCTAAAAGTGATGCAAATCATAATGATTATTTTGATGTAAATTTTGAAATGATCTAGAAAAAATATAATTATATGAAATTTAATATCTTGTCATCATCATCGTCGTCATCACCATTAAAGAATATTAGTTTCCATTATAAATATCATTTAAGTTTGAATTGGTTCAGTTGTCATTATTATTATCTGCAAATATAAAATAAAAAATATTTTTTTATAAAGAATATATCATCATCATCTTCAGTTAATAGCGGAGCAATCAAGAAGGAATTTGAACATTATTGAAGCAATAATATGAAACCACTCGTCTTTCGTATTAGTTTGGCTGAATTTTATAATTTTCTAAGTTCTTCGCTCTTCAATTGCCATTGTAACAAAATTGAAAGGTAAGAAGATGATTTGTAATCATGGATGTTATCAATACAACAACAGTATCAACCCTTTATCCCACTACGTATGATCAGCTACATAAATCCTTTTTCTCCATTGTGTCCTGTTAAGAGTGAAATTTTCATTTAAATCTAATAAAGAAAAGTCATTTCTTACAAGAAATGATATTATCAATCTAACAAGAAAATGCTTATACAATTAACGAATATGTTGATCACGAGGGGACAACAAAACTAAGAGTGAACTTAAAATTGGCATGTACCTTCTATATTTTATAGAAATAATGTAATAGTCCATTTTGCATTTTGTATTTAAAAGCTTTTAAAAAAGGAATGAGTGTGTTAGAGAATTAAGTTGGATTGAAAAATGTAATAGTGTTGCTTGGATGCAATGTAAGTTGAAGCTTGTTGGCTTCTTCGTATATGGATTCTTTAGTGAGTTCCAAAGAGATGATATGTGTAATATTTTATTATTCTAAAGAGTAATTTTATCATTGCAATTGTCATATCTCTCCCTTAATTATTTATATTCATGTATATTATTCATGTTATTGCTTAAGCACAATTTTAGTTTACAGCATGATTAAGATGCGTATAAATGCAAGCCTGCCATCTTTATCATTGCTTGTAAGACCTAGCATCATTTTTGGTACAACTCATCCATCACCCAGTTGTGTGGTATGTTTATTTTAGGTATCATATACACCTACCTAAATTAGATCAATTTCAACCTTCAATGATCAAATTAATCATCTAATCAACCATCACTTCTTTTGACTTCTATCATCTTAGCATATACCATAAATATACCTCCATTCACCTCAATCCATGTAAATGTTAAGATCACTTATGCTAGTTTGGTAAACCCTAGGGAGACCATAGCTAGCTTCAAGAGTGACCAACCACACTCTTGTAGCCATAGCTCCACAAGATCACTTGCATGCATCCTCTTGTGTTCATCCTCGAGACCACTACTATTACAACTCAAGCTCACGAGTTTATGTTTTTGATGATAACGAACATTATGAATTTTATAGCTATGTCTCCTTGTATTTGCCATGTGTATTTATTTGTGTGTGTATTAACATTTCATAAACATCATGCATCATCCAACAAAGATTCAAGGCTCAAGATTGAGTAGAATATGTTATGCTGTAAAAATGTTTATAATATTCATTGATGTATTTTTTATTTATTGAATCAAATCCTAAAATGGTGTATGTTAGTTTTGTGACCATGCACACACACACTCAAAGGGAGTGAGATTGAGTCAAAATCATATATTCAAATGTTGAACTAATCGTACTGTACGATTTATATCGTAATGTACGATCAGCTCATCTAACTAATCGTATTGGATGATTTAGATCGTCAAGGACAATCAGTTACGATCATGAAAAATATATGTCAATCATAATTTATGATTGACGATCTATGACAATCATTTATAAATTGATCCTGTCATTTGGGGACTAATTATGGTTAATTTGTTCCATACGATCATCCAGGACGATCAATGAAGATCGTACTACATGACCCGAGAGATACATGGGACGATACTTGATCTTCCCAGACAAAAAATCATAATTTTTCTTCTAATCGTCTAGGACGATCCCCAATATCATAATTGATGATCAGTACAAATTTAAACTGATTGTATTAAACTATCTGGAAATCATACAATACTATCAGGTCAAATTCTGCACATCGTACTGGACGATCCTACGATCATACATGATGATATTTGGTGCCAGAATTGAGTTTCTAGGGTTTTTCAAATTTTATGTATCATACTGGACGATCCTGCGACCGTACTGTATGATCTTTTTCACCATAATTGAATTTCTAAGGTTTTTCAAAGCCCTCTATTTAAGCTTTCTTCAAATACATTATAAGTTTCTTTGGCATGCATTGATTCTTCATGTTTTTGGAGAAAACTTGAAGAAAGAGCCTTAAAAGGGAGAGAGAAAATGGTGGAGTATGAGAGGGAGAAGATCCTTATGGGTTTCGAGGGAGTGTGGATGGGTTTCACACGGTTGCTCTGGCAAGCTTGCATTTTAGTACCATCGGATTTAAGGTTTGTCTTGAGGGAAGTTTTGGAAAGAAAAAGATCTCTTTGGTGTCAAAGGACCCAGCTACTCCGTCGCACCAGGGAAGGTGAAAGGGATTCATTATTCTCTGCCATCTCCTGGAGGTAGAAAGAGGAGGCAAGGTTCTCTACATATAAAAGGAGTCTTGGTCCTCTGTTGCACTAAGTTGGTGGAAGACATTTTATAAAGGCTTCTCCACCTAGCTGTGGGGGCTAAAGGAGAGTCACTAAAGAGTTTAGTGTAATATCTAAATAGGGAGTCTCTAGGGAGAGGACGTAAGTAAATTTGATCGAACCACTATAAATCTGGTGTGTTCTTTCTAGTTGCTTTTTTGCATTTAATTTCTACATTATTTTGTAATTTATTATGTGGTTGAAATCTCAAATTTTTGTTATTGTGAAATTATTATTGCTTTCGCATAAATTTTTTGTTTTAAAATATTCAAAAAGATTTTCTTTTTCATTTAACTACCAAGAACTCCAATACATGAATAGTAGCCCAACGCTTGCTTCAACTAGCACAATGCCCAATATGCTTCAACGCCTCTTCCTAAGCTTCCCATAACTTTGACACCTAAAAGACCTGTCACCATCACCTTTGAGGCTAGAGTGTTCAGGGGATAATAAGTACAAACTTACGTGTGAGTTATAACTCGTAAAGTTTTTTTTTTTTGGGGAAATTTGGGGCCAAAGCCCTTCTATTAAGAAAAAGCAATTACAGGTAAATAGTTAAAAAATCTGCTAGAAAAAAAGCAGACCAAAAAATTACAATGAAGAAAGGAAGAAAACTATACCACCCGAACCCAAAAAAAACAGAAACAAAATTGTGGTATACAAAATTGATCAGGACTCAGGGCTGAGCTGTAGCAGAAGTCGAGCGGGACAGAATCATCAAGAGCATCACAAAGGCCCCTGGTTGCCAAAAAGACCCTCCAAGGGGCATAGCTACAGCAATCATCATTGTCCTGCAAAATTGTCTGAAGAGCCGAAAAGAAACCGTCCCCGGTTGCCGAACTGGCCATCCAAAGGGAAGAGCCAGCAAGCCAAAAAATTCCAACAATTGCAGAGAAACAGACCAAGAAACCTCCATCCAAAGAAACCACCAGTCACAGTCCAGATAAATGTGCTCAAGGTAAGAGATGCAAAAACCTGAACCCAATTTTC